TAAAAATAATAGAAACACAAGTTTTACAATAGCTGTGATACTCTGTGGTCTACTATTCTCATTTATTATGATAATGAAATGCTATGAACATTGTACTCATTTGAAGAGTCTTTAATTAATTAGAGGATGGAACGATTTAGAAGAAAGTGAAAGTGTAAACTTCTTACCGCAGTCTTTCGCTACATCTGTACACTTAATTCAGTATCTGAATTTTCCAGAGGAGACAATCACAAGGGACCCCACGGCATTTCTTAATCGGAACTAGAACATTGACCTCCACGATGCCCTTTAGGAGTTTAAATAGGTGGAAGGTACCCGCAGCTAGGCCTGAATGATAGGGGAACGCAGTAAGTTGCTGCAGCGTGAAAGTAGTATACTTTAACATTTAGCTCACTTGATGCCTACCGTGCAGTTAATGTCCGCAAATGATTTTAAAGTTTATCTTGTTACTTCATTTGTAATGCAATTTCATAATAGTTTATGCATAAATTTGGCATTCTCAAACTGTCTCTGTCAAAAAACTTGAGCTAAGAATAGTTGCGGACAAGATCGTCACTTATGCAGACTTGCATCTGGTCATCTGTAAAACGCTGCTGAGCGGCTGAGCACCGATGTATCATACTATGCTAAAGAAGTATATTAGCTACTCAGTTATTTGACACAGTTGTTCATTAGAAACTCACCCATCATGAACTGAAAATGTCGTCATCTAGAAGTAGGAGGTCACAATTCGGCTCTATTGTGCGATATACCACCGCTGCAGTACTTCACTTAGAATTGGAAAATAGACTAGTCTTCTACATTTTCAAAAAACCATCTGAGTTTACAAAGACAATGAGTTTGAAGTAATTTTACTTACCTAGGACTTATTTTTGTACAGTAAGGTAGAACTCCACAGGAAGTCCTCTGCGCTCCCAGGAAATGAGGTATCTGATATTTTACATTACACAAAAATCCCCTTAAGTTTTTGAGCCAGGTGATACGGTATAATAAAATTAAAAAGGGAATTGTAAAAAATTCATTAAGTAATGCACTGTGATGAAATAATTTGCTTAGCGCTCTAATGTTTGCGCTGAGTACAAAGTGGTACGCATCCCTACGCAGAAACACGAAGGACTTACTGATCCACGTCCATGTTATTCTAGAAGGCTGCTTAATATTTCAAACACAAAAAACTAGAACTGTAAAGTTTGCAGCTTTGGACTTCCAACTTTTTGCTCAGATATCGCAGAGGTAAAAAGCACCCTTCTTGAACGCCAAATACTGCCAGGAAATTCAGAGACTTTCCTTAGAGAAAAGGGCATGTTCAAAATATTCTCTCCTCTCTTTTAATGCTATATCTTAATTATGGCGTAGATTTGGCGGTTTTTTTGGGGTGACTCATTCATGGCTCAAGGTGGTATAATCAGCTCTGTGACCGAGTCATGACCTAATCTACGTTATTGTTAACGACTGTTTAATGACTTGGCACGTCAAAACGTTGACAAGACCTTTAAGCGGAACTTGGCCAAAAAGCTACGAGAAGGTAAGGATTACTTTATTTGAACATAAAATGCGATTGAGCAGTAGTTGACACAGAAGTTAGGTCCAACATAAACCTTTTATAAAATAATTGACGTAATTGAAATATTTAGAGGATTTCGGCTTTGGTAGATCCTGGGAAGGTCAAAAAATGAGGTGTGAAACTGACAAACATTTGCCATTTGATATAAGACATTAAAGAAAAAAACCTTTTTCTGCATATTAGTGAATATTCCGACCTCATTTTATGCCTGAATAAAGGCAGGTAAAAGGCACAAAATGCTGAGGATTTGGTAGTTAAAACAAGTTACCAAAGAAATTTTGATGAAATTTGACAAGCTTTTGCAGTAAAAGTACTTCTTACTCTCAAACGCAACTTAACCAATCCTAAGGATAAACAATGCCACTGTCAGTCAATGTGTAGGCAATCAAACCAGTTTTGTGGTTTTATTGGTGTAGTCAATTAAAGCAGTGTGCTTCCTGTCTTACATCGGTAAAAATTTATAAATATACAGCCCATAATCCTTCTTAGATGTAACATATACTCAAGCCCTGCCCATCTTCTCTTTTGCTCTACGTTTTTTTCTCTTAAGTCTGTTCAATTTCCTATGTGCTTATCACATGGAGAAATTTGTTGGGGAAACTGGGGGTCAAGATATAGCAGTAAAACTTTAACAACTCAGAATACAGTTTTAGAGCTCCTAGTAACCTAATATTTCAAATCAAGGTTTTAGATTGTTTTTCAAGAAGGCAACTGTGTTCTACCGCCCCTGTCTGATTCTCAAGATAATTTTATTTTAAACACCCAGACATTTATCGTCATAAACCAGTCAGTGAACAATTAAAAAGGGGATCTTTATATTGTTAAGGAAGTGAGGAATAACTTACTGATAAAGTTTCGTGATTACTGTCACATTCATGCATAACATATGAAAATCAGCTTAGCTGCTCAACTGAGTAAAAGGGTAAGTTCTCATCTTTTCCTCTCAGACAATGTAAGTGCCAACTAATTGCTTCATTAACACTCATGTTGCCTCAAGCGCAAACATTAAATGTTTTCTTGAGCACATAGTTTTAAGTCATTTGGCTCCAGAATCAACAAAACTGAACCGGATTTACACAAATTATGGCGTCAAAATTGTACATGGACTTTACTTGACCTCATAACAGATTTTTCTATAACTTAAAACTATTGCAAAAAGGAATGGGCCCAAATTTTAGGCCAAAACTCCACAAAATGTAATCGGCTTACAAAATGTGCTTACTGACATAACGGATGGAATTCGACGGAAATCTACGAAACGAATAGCTATCAGCGGATTTAGCAATTGTTTAATGGCAGTAAAGATCATCTCACAGTCTTTGTTGCAATCTCGCACTTGATTTGAATCAACTGAAATGGTCCTATCATAATCATTGTAGACTAATAGCCTTGGTTACCCCTATGCAAAATACTGAAAGGAGCCTGGAACACTCTGATTGAAAAGATTTCTTTTGATTACGTTAAATGCTTGCAATTAACCTAATTTTCAAGGTGCTTGCAACATTTTTGACTTTACTCCATAAATTCTCTTGTATACCCACAAATTTTACCAACGGAATTATTTGCCCTCTAGTTTCCCTGGATATTTCTCATGGACTACATATCCATGGTCTCTTCAACCCAATAACAAAACTCCGGTCTTTACTGAATGGAAAATACATCCAAGGAAGACAATTCCCTTAAATAAACTTAGATCAAATATGCGACTTAAAAACTATGTTGAGCCTTTTTCATTTTCTTTTTTTCCAATGCAAACATTGCCTATTTGTGGACCACACAGGATAGACAGATGCTGTGCAAATCTATGCAAATAGAATCAGGACGGAAATGATTGCGCACATCTCTAAAGTATTAGTCTATATCGCATTTAAATGGGGACGTTTTGACGTGGGCGGTCAAGTTTGTTACAACTAAGGATAAATTTGTAATTTATAAAGGAAAAAGTGAATGAAGAGCATCGTCGTTCACCATTTCAAAGATGTAAAACAGATGACCAATTTCTTTGAATCACCGCTTTATACTTCATCCTAGACGCAGACTGCTTTTATGTTTGGTGGAATGGGGTCGATTGCAGAGTTGAGTAGGTCTAATTGTCTTTTTATAACTAATAAAAAGGAGGACATTGAGAAATGGCGGGATTTCTGCTCGTGAATTCCTTAAGGGAGTTAAAGAGAATGACACTTCGATACGGCCAAGTTAAGAAAGAAAGCAGCCATTAAAAAGGCAGGCATCCCCCTGTGAGGTATAATATTAGATAAATGCATTGTTAAAATATATACTGTGGCAGATAGAACACAGTAAATAACAAACGCTTTTAGATGGAGGTTGTCAGCTGTTGGGAAGATTAATGCCAGGCTTAAGATAAATTAAAGTCAACTTAAGAGTAACATCACGCTTTGTATCAACCTCCTAAGCTCTTAAGGCAAAGCAAAGGCAAACATGGATGAATTTTATTTTAATGTATAGTTTTATCACAGTTTTTCGACAGAAAAAGCTGCTTTAAAGACAATGCCATGTATCGCTAGAAACCCTTGTACATTCGATTAATTAAGACTTTGGAAGATTGGGGTGAGCCTAACAAATTTACATAAAAGCGTGAAAGATATTGCTTGATAAAATGCAAACTACCATAAGCCGCTATGTTGGGAGTTGATATTTCGCCCCAAAAGATGAAACAAAACAGAGTTCTTCTGCAAAGATCGTCAGAGAAGAATTAACTGAAGTATCTTATAATCCAAGTTACGAGGACTGAAACTATGCACTGCTAACGAAAACTTAGCGTTCCAGGTATTGGTACCCACTCGGATATCAGGTGCCCTGAACATCAGTTCGTGATCATGAACTTGCAAATGATATTAGAATCTACGGAATTATTCGTGGGGACGTGCATGTAAACGACTTTACCACTAGCATAATGGCAGTTTAGTTAGCTTAGAAGTTGAAAAGATAAAATACCACTTATCCAATCAGTAAGCTCCCAGATTTTAACAAAGATCCCTAGCCATATGTGAGAACAATCAGATTTGCATTGAAAGCAAAATGCAGGTAAAATACGATAAAAAATGCTTTATTTACCACTACAAATAATTAGTTTAGATCTTATAACATAATAGTTCATTATATTTTAAGGGTTTTCAGGGAAAAATTGCAATCCAAACGGAATTTATCTAAATGATAAATAAATGAAAAATTTTATACTACTTATTCAGGGTAATTTGAAGTGACTCAGTCAAATGGACACTAGTGAAAGGAGGACTCTGTAATAATCACTCGCACAAATAACTAAGAAGCCTAAAAAGTGGCTTATTTATAGGGAAACACAAACTGTAGCTTTAATTATAATTTGAGCTTTGATTGCAAATTGCTTTTATAGTAGAAGAGAGGCTAGTTTTTTTCATTCACTCGCATTAATAAATAAGCAAAATTAACTTCACCGATGTCAGAGTGTCTTGTTTGCACAATTAGACCTCCCAGGCAGACTAAAGGGGGGACATCTCGTAGCCAAAATTTGGAGAAGGGGGAACGCAAAGCTTCGGGAGTTCACTGGAAGTCTGAAACTCAACTCAAAGGTACCCGCCTGTTGCAACTTTTCTAGTTGGTTGTCAGCTGCTTCCGTATCTCACCTCCACGGATGTTTAGATGGCTGGTCGGAGGACAGTTTAACATTTCGACGCCTCTTTACGGGTGGTCTGGAGCAACAACGACAACGACGATGAAAACGCCTACGAAGAGTGAAAGAAAATTGGTTTGTGGTCATTTATGCCAAATTTGTCATGTTACATGTCTCATAATGGTAGCAACTAGTAAACGTAAGTTTTGCCAGAATTTTGAAAGAAAATTGCTAACGTACAACTTACATCTGTTTAAAACAAAAAGTAACAAGTACTTTACTGAATATAAGCGATGTCGGTCACAGAACTTCTTTATTCCCATTGACCATAAATGGCTATTGTGGTTCTTCATTTGGCAGGTCAAACATGCTGGTTCACGTATTTTAAATCGAGAATGCTAGAGGAAGAATTTAATGAGTCAATGAAGCTATGAAAGCGTTTGAACATGCATTTCCGTTTCTTGTGACCTGTATGTTAAGGAGATATGTCCTGCTAAAACAATTAAACAAATCTTTTAATTCAACACTTTGAAATTCTGATCAAAGACCAAGCGGTGACTGTTGAATTATCCTTCCAAGGCTTCTGCTGTGTAGATTTGGTAGCTTACTTAAACATTTTACTAACGTTAATAGATTTTTTGCCTCAAATTATTTCGGCTGTCATTTTACAAAACATTATTTACACATTAAATGTGGCAAGGTAGGATTAAGACCTTTAAGCCCAAATATCACTGTAGGGGTTGATCCACTACACTAATTTTACCTTGAAAATATGGGAACACTCTCAAAGCAAGTCTGCTTTCGCCAATGAAAGGAACCACCACAGGCTATCAAAAATTAATACCCTAACCATAAACCAATTTGGTATGAGAGTATGATATTTAACCTTAAAAGAAAAAAACACATTGAAAGCGCCTGTCAAATAGACTAAAAATTGATTATCTAGGGTCTGAAAGATTTATGACCTATCATATATCAAAAGTTGTCAGCCTTATTTATAAAAAAAACTTAATAGGGTAAACAAGTGGAGAAATTATATGGAAAATTTAAAAGAAGTGAACACTGGCAGTTCTTCACACTTCCAAAAAAACAGCAAAAATCGTAGTAAGTCATTACAGAAGTTTTTATGATCAAGTGATGGAACCTACACTTCTTTCTAATATATAGGGGTTACTAAAATATTCACATCGTACTATGGAAGTATATTGACCTTTGGACTGATATGTGACCCCACCAGTCCACTTTCTCATAGATTGCGATAATTATTTTAAGGTTTTAGGATAGGTTGGGTTAAGAAACATTGGAATAAACACTAGTTTTTAAAAAAATGAAAAATATTAATTGAAATGCATTTGAAAGAGGTAAATCTCATTTTCAATAAAAATATTTCAGTTTAACTATTTTTAGAGATGCTTGTATTTATCGCATTACCCATGTATTTAAGCAAGAGGCCCGGTGTTTATTCATTTTACCTTAGCCTTCGTACCCTTGGAACGGGTAGATGGAATGAATGAGGTCGTGCCTTATTAAATAGCGATAATAAAATAGGTACAAGTATTAAGGCTGTAAGTGTTCAGAGTGTGTTACCTCCTCGTAACCTGACTGTGTCCTCTTAGTCCCGAGATTCGTATTTACAGACCACCTCTCACCTAAAAGATATTCCAGTCGGATAAATAATTGTCACCAATACATGTTCACCAAGAATATAGCTCCAAAAAGTCTCCATTTTAGGAAGGAAGCCTAATCCATCCACGCTTTGAGTTATTTTTGAAGATAGATAATTCTCCTAGGGATTTAAAAAGGCAGATCGTATTCAGAAAGTCGGTGAGTCGTAAATGAATCCTTCGCCACCTGGTGATTCTTGGAAGTGAGCAGTAAAACATCTTTACGAACTTCGAAAGGCTAGGTTTATTTTTTGGTCAGAAGTAATTAAAAACCTTCCCAACTGTCACAGTGCTCAGCGTAATGATGCCAAACAATGGTTGAATAATCAGTAACTCAACAAATTTTACTTCTACAGCTGGGAACCTATCCCACCAAAACTTTCAATGAAATTACTTATACGGTGTAAAAGCTTATTTTAGCTGAATTTATTTGTTCGACCACATAAACATCAATTCTTTTTGAAGATATGGATCAAAAAAATAGCCCAACTTTTATGTTTATCTGTACATAAAAGCGGAAATCTACCTATCCTACTTTATTATGCTACTTTATCTAATTGGATCTCCAACAAACTGAACCTAAATTTGACCAAATAAAAGCATAAATAACTCCGACAGTAATGCCACGCCAACCCACTATTTTTAACTATTTTAATAAGCTGGAAGTGTAAGCTGAAAAAGATTTAATCACCCGCCTAAGTACAAGAAAGTGGTTAAAGCTACCACAAAGCATTTTACTACTTTAAAGTAAAATTTCACTCCACCAAGTGTTTCCATGTTTAGTTCGCATGATTTTTACTTGGCTTCTTTTAAAAAATGGCAAGAGTTTCATAACGGTAGTTTATGCTGAAGAAATTTCGATACAACATGACAGGCTGTGGAATGCGCATCAAATATTACTAGTGCGCCAACTCGTCCATTTTCCATTCACGCTTAAAAATGGAGTGGAGCTTTCTTACAAAGACTAACCTCCCACCAACTTCAAAGCAACGCCACCAAGACACGTTTTAAATGTTGCCGACAAGAGAACTGTCTCAACAAGTCTCCACTGAAAGATGCTTGTTCATGGGGTGGGTGAGTAAAGTCCAATTTTTGTGCCTGTAGGCAGTGCAGAGGTAGGTGCATATAAGTATGCTTAAACTGACTCGACTCGACTTCCCCTCCACTTACTTTGCTTTACTTTACCTTATTTAAAGGAGACAAACTGTATTCCTGTGATGCCATAAATTAAAAGACGCAAACGAATCTCGGACAACGAAGAAAAAATTTTGTCTGCTAATAAATTATCCATTCATTCTCTCCTAAAATTCGAAGTTAACAAGGCTGAAATTCGGTAATTTATTAATTTATTTATTTCAGTGGATAAAAAATCACCAGCCTTTTTCTTTCCGTTCCAGTAGACCGGGAAATATCACTTGTCCTAAAAAAACCAACCAAACCATTAGGTCATTTGTCCCTGCACAATTGCAGTTCTCATAGCATTCTGGTTTGAGTAAACTACATTGACTTGAAACTTTTCAATCCAATTAATTCATTAAGCAGAAATTTTTCATTTGAGTGGCTGTATCTAAGGCTTTTCCCATTTCAGCCCGACACCTCACTCGACTCCAAATTGTTTTTCACAAATGACCAATAACATGGCAAAATTTAATATGGTTTAACCCATCATCTACTTTTTTGATGAAGTGCTTCATACAAAGCGATTAAATGATACAATGATGTATCTTGATCATTTAAGTCTTTGTAACTGCACTTGGTTAAAGGGGTGAAGACCTACATACATCAGTCACTTCGCAATGCAAATAAGATGTTGTAAACTAAACCTTGGCTAAAATTAAAATTCACACTCTCCTATCGGGCTATTTTATGGGTTGTGCACCAATCATTTGTCTTTGGCGCCCAATGGAAAAGGGGGAACATTTAAAGCCATACTCCTACAACACATTAAGTATCGCTTGAACCCCAAAAACAATCGGACTAGTTTGTAGTTTAGGGCAATTTAGTTGAGTCACGTGAGTTGTAACCGCCATTTTCGATCCATTCACAGTTTTATCAGTCCTCGAAATGCAAAGAATAGGCATAAAAGTGGTTAAGCAGTCAAGGCGTCGGCAAACAAATAACCAAAAGTGTTCTAAGTTAAGATGAGGTGGACACAGGATTGGTGCCTCATAGCTCTCCTCGGCAACCAAATCCAGTAATTTATGGCTATCTTTTCCCTTCCCCCTTTTCTCTCTTCATACCTTCCTTTTTCAGTCTCTGCTTGATGTGGTGCGATCCCTGTAAGGGTTGGGAGGTAATTATACCACCGTTGGGAGTCTACGTTTGTGCGAATTTTGTTGCCAAATGAGGCAAATATAGGGCAAAATAGCAATGAATCGACACGTCTTTTGTTGTGAAGGCTTAGTGACATGAGAATATTCCTGCAATTTCCATAACAACCACTAGTATATAAAGCGGTGATAGAACCATTGCTTAACACTTACAAGGGAATAAATGATGTGTTGCAAACATCTCTTTTGGTTTGGAAACTATGAGACGTGCAATTAAGTTTTTGTAACCTTGGTGAAGAAAGGTAAGCAAGCATACGAAGCTTTCTAATATATTTGATTTATTAAAGCAGTCATAGTTAAGTCTAGGAACCTTTTACGATGAGACTAGAGAATCCTTTTATCCAAATTTCAGTCGCTTGAAGCAACAACCTCGGCCCAAATTGGCTTTATTTGCGCCAGGCCACTCTTCCAACTTCCATATACACACATTAAGTTGACTAAAGTCCGGAAATGATGACACTCACACGGTGACATGAGGGAATAAGGAGGAAAGGGTAGAGTATTCCTCCGTGAGATATTCTCGTGGGCATTCTTTACGGCGACCTAAGTCCTTATATTTTCTAGTGGGAATATGACCTTCTTCTGACCGAGTGATTGGCATTGAATCTATTTAAAGCAGAATTTATTCTTTGGCGAGTTCCATCCACGTCTAGTAAAATTCGACTATAAGTACCGGACCTCCAGGAAACAACTTAGAATAGACAACTGCATTTGTAGTTTATTATAAGCACGCAAAGCAAATGAAGTGGGGATTGAAAATGAGTCATTTGGCGATACAGTAATTTTATGTTAATTAGCTTAACAAAATTCAAAATGAAAAACTATTCTCCATTTTAAGTCAGTCCTACAGAAGTCCAAATTTTTGCGATCCCTAATGAAACATGATCAATCTCCCACAAAAATGGGGTTTAGTCCGGTTATGGCGTATTCTCGAGAGGTTCACCGCCAGAAATCCTTGGTGAGGGGTTCTGCAACAGCATATTGAATCTTCCTAAAATGCTATCAACATAAATTTTGTTAGCTTCCAAGACCAAACAAGCTGAAGTCACATCATTTTGGCTTAATTATCATTGTACGGGTTCCATAAAACATAAAATGCAGCATAAATGGAC